CCCTTGTCACCGCCCCTTCTACCTTCTCCCTTTCCCCACTTTTTTTCCCAGCAGCCTTTCTTACAAAGGACCATTGATTAAAAAAATACCAATTGTTATATTCAGCTTATTACTCACAGATTGGTTTTATTTTATTTTTGTTGTTGATAAGTGTGCTTTCCAGAAAGTTGAGATTGTTTCAGAATGCTATTAGGTCTGCTTGGGGTAATAATGTAGATTATAAAACGCATAGAGCTTGCTACTGAACGTGAATTTGCACTATACAAATGCTATTTATTATTTCATACTCACGAGGGTATTTTCATGGTATTATTTTGTAGTCAGTTTTCCCTGTGAGCTTCAGTCAGCGTGTGTCTTCCTTGTTCCTTCTTCCCAGGCTTTAAATTGTGTCACTCTCTTCCTAACAACCAATACTTTTAGGTAATATATATCTGTAGCCATGAGAACTATGGAGACAAAGCGTTTTCTCATTTGATTTCGTTGTCTTCGCGTCTATTTTATATTGAATTTTTTACATTAATTTGTATTTTATTCGTAATCATCAGACATTGCACTTACAACACTTTGTCCAAAGATTGGTCAAGAGAGTTATTTGCTTTGCCCTCTCACTTATTAATGATATTTGTTGTTGAATTCAAAGAAACTTTTTGTGTCGCAAGTGCCGTAAAACTGGTACTCTCTAGTAACACCTCTGATCTCTGGCACTTATAATATGCTGTATTGGTGTTGTGAGTGCCGTAAAACTGGTCTTAAAACACGTCGTGTTGTCTCCCGCAGACCAACGGGCCCAGCAGCATGTACGAGGCCATCTCCCAGCACGACACGCTCCGGGCTGAGCCAGAGAAGATCAAAATTTGGCGGGAGGAACAGAAAGCCAGGCTGGAGAAGAAAGGTGAGAAAAATTGTCGGCATTGTTTGAAATGGTCGTCGGGGCAGGTTGGACTGCTTTCTTAAGATCGTTACCCTCTCCTTTCCTATCAAACGTCTATCGTACTCATTTCTCCTCTTTTTTTTGGTGTTTGTTACTCTCTTGTAACACCTCTAATCTTCGCCTCTTATATGACCTTATTATTGTGTTGGAAGTACCGTAAAACTCTTACTAAAACTAAACTAATCTTGCCACTTAAATGACCTTATTGTGTTGCAAGTGCTGTAAAACTCTTACTAAAACTAAACTGTTGTTGTTGATATTGATGTTGTTGTTGTTGTTGTTGTTGCGTGCAGACTCAGAGGAAGACAAGAAGAAGCTGGAGCTGAAGGAGGTGGCGAAGAAAGAGCTGGACGACTGGTACAAACATCACACGGAGCAGCTGGAGAAGACCAAGGAGAACAACAGGTCGGTTTCTCCGCGGGCGTAGCGGTTCGTCTGACTTCATATCGGTTCGTCCACTGTGTCGGTTCTTCCGCTACTGTCTCAGTTCGTCTGACTTCGTGTCGGTTCGTCCGCTGTGTGTTGTTTTATCTGCTGTCATGTCGGTTCGTCTGTTGCGTCGGAATGTCTGGTGTGTCAGTTTGTCTTCTGTGTAAGTTTGTCTTCTATGTTGATTTATCTGCGGTGTCGGTGTGAACCGAACAGAGCCCTTTCTTGATTTATTGGGCCATTCTATGTAAAGTGTCGCGTGAAGCGCAAGGATAAGATTGTTGAGATGAGAGAACATATGACAAGATAATAATTTATTGACCGTGTCGGAAATTTTCTGCGGAGAAAAAAAATCTAATCAATGATAGAGATATTCCTTCTTTCTTTTTTGTGTTAGTTTTAGTTACAGTTTTTCGGCACTTGCGACAGAAAGAGGTCATATAAGTGCCAAAGATTAGAGGTGTTACAAGAGAGTAACATACAAGGATAGGGAGGAGGAAGGATAAGGGCGATAGGTGTCTGATTGGAAAGAAGGAGCAAAAATCACACCAGAGCACCCGCCAACCACCCACTTTCTTTTTTTTTTAGGAAGGTACAGCTGAGGGCAAATA